CTATTGATATAAAAATATACTCCACACTTTCAGCCATTTTCTTCAATTGGTGAGAATGGAAGGATATTCAGGAGATTTATCGCAATACAGAACCTCGAAGTGACGGAATTGCAGCACCTTCAAGTCTTCATTAAGCGAATTTATGGACGTACCGACCAGCAATTTATTTCGATAGCGAATACGAGAGGTCAAATGTCAGGAATTTTCATCCAGTGGGCGTTTTAATTACTTTTCTTGCCTTTTGGTTAATTGTTATTAAAGTTCTCACTGTTTATGCACCTCTAATGAGTAATCAGAAATGAGCATTAAAGCAAACTTTAGAAAACCCGACTTTGATATTTACCTGGTACGAAATGAGTAGTATAAAGAAGATTATCGGGGTAAAGCATATTTTTCAAAAGTCACATAAGGGGTTTTCGAGGTAATTGCAGACAATAAAATTGAAGTTTCAGCAAATTCTTTCTCCATATAATCTACAGACGCTGGTTTCAACCTTTAAAATTAGCTAACAATAGTCACCACCTTTTATTACTGTCCGAAATATAAAAAAACAGGAAGACCACTTTGGGTTTCCGCAAGAATTCGACTCCACCATCTTACTGGTCTATAGAGACTTTTGACAATTTGTCCATCTCATTTGATTTTAACGTAACAGAACTCGATGTGGAATTGTAGCAGTTTTAAATTATAAATTCAAAGTAATGGTATCAGTTCTTCAAATGTCAAAATGTCAAGTAGAGTTGGTTACTCACGTGACAGAGTAGGTTTAGAAGACACTAATGAGACAATTACAATGCAAGTGCGTTTACACGCAGACTAGCCAATCATCTACACAAGGGTTCATATCTAAATAGCCGGTTGAAGAGAATTGTCTCTCATAATATCATTTTGTGCCAACGATGCCTTGGTAAGTCGCACCTCTCAACATGCCAAATTCAAGTAAAAATTAAATGGCAAACTATCAAATGAGGTTGACAGAAAACTATAGAAATTGTCAACTCTAGTTTGGTCGCCTATTTAAAAGCATTTGATATTAATTACAATGTTTACATCAAGTTTGAATAACCTTTCCTCCACTTTAGCCCCAAAGCTGTTAAAGAATTGTTGGAAGAGTTTGACAAGGATGGATCCGGAAAAATCGATGCAGAAGAGCTCCTTAAGGCACTTCAACATTTGGGTTTTGATTTGGCTCAAGTGAAGGCATTCATTCGAGAAAATGACAAAAATGGTGATGGTCAGTTGGATTACAAGGAG